CCATTACCAAGGTTCCCTTCACCATCAGAGCCTTGGGACAGACCACCATTCCTGTGAGACACCTCCAACAGCCCCTTCCCAGCTCCTGCCCCATCCTGGACACGGAGACTCACCCGTTGCTCTTCTTGGCCGCCGACAGGACGTAGGCGCGTTCCCGGCCGGCCGAGCGCCGCAGGACACTGTTGGCAGCCTCAGTCCTGTAGGGAGGGAGGGACAGGGTCACATCCTGCTCCTCCTCACCCTGGCTGCTGCCTGGGCAGCCCAGGAACAACCCAGAGAAGGCTGGTGCCGACCCTGACAGAGCTCCCACACTCTGAGTCGCGGAATCGTCAAGGTTGGAAAAGACCTGCCGACCATCAACCCGCACCACCACCGTGGTCACCTCTAAACCACCCCCTCCAGGGCCACATCCACGTGTTCACTGAACACTTCCAGGGATGGGGACTCCACCACTGACCCCTCTTCCTGTGAAGAAATTAGCCCTAAAATCTCTAATCTCCAGCCAGTCAGAGCAGTGACAGCGCCTTAACTCCTTCAGTGTCACTCCTGCTGGACCACAGCCCTTCCACGTGGATGGGAAGCATCAGGGGGGAAAACCAAATACTTCCTCTTGCAGGAGGGCAGAGGGAGCTTTCCAGTCTTTTTTCCCAGACTGACCTGGATTTTTGCAATATTGGATACCATGGGACAGGAAAACGGGAGACAGGACACGCTCTGTGCTCACCCCGAGGGAAGGAGCACCGAGGCAGAGAGCAAATCTCTGAAAGGCCTTCTTGTGGTTCGACCCCAGGGGGCAAATGACCAAGTTTTCGTCTGTACAAGGTTTGTGTCTGAGCAAAAGGGGCTTCAGAAGCTCATCTGGAAGCAACAAGAGCAATCAGCCATGTTCTTGTCCATGCTGTGGCTGCCTCACCCCTGGAAGTGTCCAAGGCCAGGTTGGAGCAACCTGGGCTAGTGGAAGGTGTCCCTGACCATGGCAGGGGTGGGACTGGATGGGCTTTAAGGACCCTTCCAACCCAAACAATTCTGGGCTGATTCTCTGATTCTGCTCCTGAGATGAGTGTGACAGACCTGCTGGGATGCGGCCTTGGATTCCAGTCCCTGAGTGATCCCGACCCCGGGGCAGGGAGTTGGGCTCCTGCCAGGCTCTTTGTACATCTCTGTCTTCTCACTAGGACACAAGGCAGCCCACGGATTCCACAACCTTTCCCAGCTGCCCAATTAATTGGGCTGTGCTGTCAGGTTGGATCATGTCAGGCTTTTAATTATATTTTGTTGGAAGGGCAGTGGCCCGTGGGCAGAACTGGGCTCTGAGCACAAATATCTGCTTATTATTATTATTATTATTATTGTTATTATTATTTTATTGCAAACCAGCCCTAATGGCTCATCCATGTCATTCCCAGGAATGAACAGCCCAGCTGGAGAGAGGCCACTTGTCCCTGTCCCTGCAGGAACACGGAGGTACCTCCAGGACTCACCTCTTCTTGTGTTCATCCGGAGAAAAAGGCACGTCCTCCTCATCCCCATCCACAGATCTTTGCCTGACATTGTAAGGAGCTCTGAAACAGAGAGGGAAGGGCAGAGCCAGGGTAAGGGGCACCACCAACACACAGCTGAACCCATGGACGTGTGGAAATGGTTCAGATCCCGGGAAACACTTGTATTTTCCACGTGCATTGGGGTGCTCCACGTCCCTGCAGGGTTTGGTTTCCTTCCTCCAGCCCCATCCCAGAGCAGAGCCACACGAAAGGCTGTGCAGGCACTTCCAGCAGTGCTGCCCTGCCACAAAGCTCCTCTTTGCTCCAGCTTTCAGGAAGCCCAGCAATCCTCCAAACCACGTTCCCAGGCTGCACCCTCCAGTCTGTGCCTTGGGATAAAACTCCCTCCCTGCAAAGGCCGGTTCAAGGGACGCTTGATGGCCCTGGGAGCCACTTTTTTCCAGTGGGAGCTCTGGAGGCTTCCTGGGCACTCCTGTGCAGGTGGCCTTGGCACTGAGCAGGGACTGAGAGGGAGCTGCTCCCTCTGCACACTCACAGTTTCTTGTAGTCCTCAGTGGTCATCCTGTACCCAGAGGGGGACCGGCCCGGGCTCTGTCCCTTGGTGGAATTGCTGCAGGAGGCACAAATCACACCCATCAACGTGACCCTTCCCCAGGGGAGCTCCACAGGGTAGAGGAAAGCAGGGTCACCCCAAACATCCACCCTCACTAAATGCTGTTTCATTGAAGAGCAGCATTTGCCTCCTTTTTCGGATTTAGGACTGGGATCTGAGGTCTGCTTTGCTTCCCCGGGGATATTGTGAGTTGTCAGAGCTGGTGTGGGCATATCCTGCTGTGGGATGGGGGAATTTCCACCCCAGGACCTTGTGGCATCACCCTTGTCCCCAGACAAATCGAAACAGGTGGGAAATGGGGTTACAAAAGATTTGGCTCGAGATGAAACAATGCACTTCTAGAATCACAAAACCACGGAATGGTTTGGGTTGGAAGAGACATTAAAGATCTTCCAGTGGGCAGGGACAACTTCCACTCAACCAGGTTGTTCCAAGCCTCATCCACCCACCCTGGACACTTGCAGGGGTGGGGCAGCCACAGCTTCTCTGGGTTCAGATCAGAGGCACCCTTGGGTCTGACTTCCCAGGATCCCAAATTTAATGCCTTGCACAAAACCGGATCTCAAAATAACCCGCAACAAACTGACCCTGTTAAAAAACACTGACATCAAGGGCTACAGCTTTGAAAGGATTCCTGGTGGTTTGTTCCTCACCCTCCAAACTCTCTTGGCCAAATTAAACCCACAAGTCCTTCCGCAGGGAAAGTGAGGAACACAAGGAGTTTGACCCCAGCATTCCATAGGGATTTCATGGAGCTCTGGAAGCCCACAAGCACCGGACACAAGCAAGAGGATGGCCAGAAACGTGTTCTAAGTATTTAAAAGCTTCTTTTCCTGGGGAGGGAAGACACACAGGTACCTTTTCTGTGCTTGGTTAGGAGAGGAGGAATCCGGCACGGCCGAGGCCTTGTCGATGGTCCTGGTGAACACCCCCCTGGGGAGGGAAGGGACAGCTTCAGTTTTTGGCTGGAAAACATCCAGAACTAAGACCAAACTACCCATTAAACAACAGGACTGTCTCTTCAGCAAGGCCCTCCCTGAGTGTTGTGTTCCCAACCAACAGGACCCAACAGAGAGGACTGTTTTTCCTGCTCGTTGCTCCTGGTCCGGCTCTCCTTCCCCTGCAGCCCAAATTTATCCCATTCCATACCAACCTGATGAGGTAACCGGATTGGGGCTTGGAGGAAGGTGACCTGTGCAAAGAACAGACATCAGTGAGTCAAAAAAAAACCCAGGGAGAAACAACAACAGCAGCACAAGGTTAAAAGGGAATGGCCACGTGGATGTCACACCAAAAATCCAGCTGAGCAGGCCTGGAAGGATCCCAGAGCTGCTGCACCTGGGTCAGCCTTGGGAGGGTTCTTTACAAATAAATGGTCATCAAAACAAGCTCTAGAAAATAAATTTTTTTTAATAAGAAAAGTGAATTTTAGAATTTTCCACTGGCAGCATTTTCTGGCTCAGGATTAACATCAGGGTGGGGGCACAGAGGGGAGAAGTTGGACGTCATCGAGATCCTGGTTGGTTTATCACTGGAAAACAAGTTCATGTGAACTCCTCTGAGGGTCCATTCCTGGGAAGGGAGCTCCTCTGGGGGCTATCCTGTCTCAGTGCTACAAGAACTGGCAAGAGCTGGCACAGGAGAAGGGAGAGGAAGCAGGAAACTGCTCCTGGGAGAGGGCAGCGTTGTCTCCATCCCTCCCTCCACACATCCCTCTCTCCCTCCCTCCCCTCTCTGCCCTCTCCATGGTGACAGTTTCCAAGGCATTCCACAACCTCTCCAGAAGATTTCCTTAGAGGAGAAGTGAATTTTAGAGTTACCCAGTTAAAATCAGCCCCACTGGCAGTGCCGTCTGGCTCAAAACGAGGCCCCAGCACAAGGCAGGACCTCCTCAAGAAGAGCTAATCCCAGTAGGGAGGGGAAGAACCACTGGAAGCACCGACCCCCTGAGAGGGGAAGGGACAGGATGGACCCTCAAAATTACCTGTCATTCTGGGGAGCAACAGGTTTTGGGGTTTGGGATCTCCCACCGGCCCGGCCAGACCTGAGGGAGGAGAAAACATCATTAATTGACGGTCTGGCTGAAGGTGGCAGTGATGCTTTTGGAGAGAGCTGGAAGAAGAGATGGATTTGGGTTTGGTTCTAATTCCAGAGAAGTTGGTGCAGCCTGGTGTTCCCTGGTACTGTGGGAGCTGCAGGGGAGGTGTCTGATCACTGAACTACCTCCCAGCCAGGTCTGCCTGGTGTTTGTCACCCTGGAGATGGTGAAGCACTTCAAAAAAATAATGTGGAGTTCTCCTAAGGCTTCCAACGTGCCTGTGCTGCTGGATACTTCTCCCCAGCCTGCATTTATCCAAAATAAAATAAGGAGCAGCACTTCCTTCTGGCCCTGTCACTGCCTGGCCCCTCAGGGACCCCAAAACACGTCAGCACCACGACTGCTCCTCCTGCAGCTGGAAAATAGAGGGACTGGAGAACCCAGAGATCCAGGAGTGCTTGGACAAGGTGGGACTGTTGGGGTGTCCTGTGCAGGGCCAGGAGTTGGACTCGATGATCCTCGTGGGTCCCTCCCAACTCGGGGCGTTCCGTGGTTCCACTCACAGGAGTGGGAGTAGGAGGACAGGGAAAAGGGATTATCCTCATGGAAAGGGAAGGAGAAGAGGAGCATCCCCCTGGCCACACTTACAGGGGGCTGCTCTTCTTTTCATCCTCAGAGTCCGAGTTGTGGTGGTGGATCCAGCTCTTGTCCCCTCTCAGCGTGGTGCGAACCTTCATCTGCTTGATGATCCTGCGCCGGTCCTCGTCCGTGGGGGGGATGATCCCTCCTGGAGAGCCATGGGAAGGGAGGAGAGAGGGCTGAGAAAGGGCAAGGCCTCCCAGGAGCAGCAGGTGAGAAGGGATGGAGGGGCAGGAGCACGGGGCTCTCTCCTTCCCGCCAGAGATCCCAGTGCCGGGTGAGTCTTTTTCCACTTCCAACAGAAGATGGAGACACGAGGTCATCCAGACTTCAGGATCAACTTATCCTGATGCAGCTCCTCCTCTGCAGGGTGTTTTCACACCTCAGCACTCTCAGCCTGTCCCAGCTGAAGGAGACACTTCCTTTGGCTCCTCATTCCCACATTTCCATCCCCAAGCTCACTTGCAAATACACATTATCTAACCGAGTCTCCCTAAATCTGGGAATGTCCCCTCATCTCCACCCTCCTCCTTCTCTCTGGCCAGGCAACCAACCTCAACTACACTCTCTGGTTGGAAAGGTCAGCAATGCAATGAAACACAAAATTAAAACGTGGGAAAACAAAAAGTTTATGGATTAGGAACTGCCAAGTCCTCCCAGCGGGAAACAGGTGGGGTGAGAATAAAAAGCACAGGTTCGTGGGGAGGAGTAATAAAGCCAAAAATATTGGGAGCAGACAGGGAAGAAGACAGGAAAAGTCTCTGCCAAGGGAAGGAAATGTGCAGGTGATTGGTGGGAAGGGCTTTGGTCATCCCAGAGTGCCAAAATCCTGCTGGACCAAACTGATTCCAGCTGGATATTTGAGAGAGAGAGAAAGAGAGAGAGGGGCATTTTAGGTGGCATTTTTAGCTGTTTTCCCCTGGAGAAATTGTAAGATGAGGACCAGATAAGGAAATCTCCTTTCCCATGTATTTCTGACTATTTTCCACCTTTTCCCCGTCTGGAAACACCTGATAAAGGCTGAAAACACGGAGCCTGCTCTGCTCCTCACACTGCACCCAGTGTCCTCTGCCCCTGGACACCCTGAGGGAGCTGAGCAGGGACATCCAGCTGAGCTGGGGACACAAAGGAGAGGCAGCAGAGGGAAGGAATTACCTTTGCTGACACCCAGGGACATCATGGTCACAGCAGCAGCTTCCCCTGCAGACACTGCCTGAAGCCAACAAGCCCCTGGAGGAGATGAAAAAAGGGAAAGTTCTGCTGTAAAAAAACCTTTGGGGAGGGGACAGCAGAGCCACAGTGTCCCAGCCACAGAACCTGGAGGGGTTCTGGGACACTCTGCTGCTGTCCCAGAGAGTGGAATCACAACCAACCACAAACTGAAAATCGGGGGGGGGGGGGAAATTGGTCTGTTCAGATTCTGCCACGACAATATATATATTTTTTTTCTTCTCCAACAAACAAATAAATGAATAAAAGAAAAAACCAAAAACAAAACAAAACAAACAAACAAACAAAAACAATCCTCACAACTGGCCCGGTGTTTGGGGATAAGTGGGACACTTGATTTGTCCGAAATGGTTCTTTTCTTTTGCCACCCTCTAATTTTTTCGTGGAAGCTGAGGGATGAACCCTCTTTTCAGAGGAGAAAACCAGGCACAGACTGGGTTGGGTTGGAAAGCTCCTCCCGTTCCAAACCCCTGCCATTGGCAGGGACACCTTCCAGCTTTTCCAACACCACCCCCACCCCCCTCTCCCCGCAGTGTTTCCTTGCCAGAATCTCCTGGATTCTGGAATGACTCTGCTCCTCAGTAATGAAAAGGCCCAACCCTCTTCAGGAGAGCCTAAAATGAGCTTGTTATTCCCTGCTGGTGGGCTTGTCCCTGCAGTATTCCCGCGGTTCCACACGCCCAGGAGGAATTCCAGGCGCTGATCTCACGGCATTGCTGCTTGGCAAAGGCTCCTCCTTGGGCTCGGCTCGGCCAGAGCTCTCCCCACCCCACAGCCCCTGCTCTGACATCGTGGACCAGCTCTGCCATCACCCCGAGGATTCCATTCCTCCTGCAAACATTCCCAAACATCGGTCCAGCTCCCACCCCTGCTCATCCTTCCCGTGGAAATGTAACAGAGAGAAAGGAAAACTCATCCTAAATATCCAGGAGGAGCCTCTAAATACTTGAGTGTCTCCTTCCTGAAGGTGGGAGATGTGGCTGGAGCCATCAGGGGCGCAGAAATTCCTGTCATCTGGCAAATTTTGGGTTGAAAAGGAATCCCATTCCTCGGACCTGCCTGAGTGAGGCACATTCAGACCCTGGAAGTATCCAAAGCCGGGCTGGAGCAGCCTGGGCTAGTGGAAGGTGTCCCTGCCCATGGCAGGAGGTGGAACTAGATGGTTTAAGGTCCCTTCCAACCCAAACCAGTCCGGGATTCTCTCACCCTCCCTTGGTGCTCTCTTCTACTTATTAAACTCTTTCCCCTCCACAAAATAAAGTGGAGGACGGGGAAAGAACCACCCAAAATGTTTCACCCATTCCTTTTCCAGCGCAAATCAGGGGGACGGGAAAGGCTCCGCCTGCCGTGGAATTCAGGGATTTGGAAGCTGAAGGGCAGAGCGATTCCCAGGGTTTCTCCTCCAGCAAAGAGCTTTTGCAGGAAGAAGGAGAGGAAAGACTCTGGGGAAGGGCTGGAGCGAGAAGAACAACATCCCTATTGCTCAAACAGAAACTCTGCTTCTTACTCACCCCATTCCCCCCCCAGGATCCACCCGAGGGGATGGGAAACCACAACCGGGTGTCACTGGCACGGGGATAAAAACGTGCCAGCCACCACACGTGGGCCGAGCCTCTCCCCCCTGGCACCGCCTTCCCTGTTCCCACCCCCCGCGATCCTGGGAGGGGCGGCACCAAACCCTGTCCTGCTGCTCCGCCGAGATTCCCGCTGGGACAAACAGGAGCAGCGATGCTCCCTGCGAGCGGCTTTGGGCCACCGGTGCCAGCGTTTTCCAGCTCTGAATCCCGGCGGGCACTCAGGGATGCTCCGGACCAGGAGCTGGATGGTGATCCCGAGCGGAGGGAGCCACCAGGACACGCAGACACCCTTTAGGGTGTCCCTGCAGCTCTGGCAGAACTTCCCAGCAAGTTGGAGCTGCTCCCCAGCGGAACAGAGGGGGCCGGAGGGAAACCTTTGGCAAATCTGGTGGGACACGTGCCCAGTTTGTCCCCCTGAGTTGGCACTGCTGGGGGATGTTGAGGGGCTGGAGCAGCTGAGGGAGCTCTGGGGGCTCAGCCTGGAGAAAAGGAGGCTCAGGGGGGACCTTCTGGCTCTGCAATCCCTGACAGGAGGGGGGAGCCGGGGGGGGGGTCAGGCTCTGCTCCCAGGGAACAGGGACAGGAGGAGAGGGAACGGCCTCCAGCTGTGCCAGGGGAGGGCAGGATGGATTTGGGGGAAATTTTTAGAAGGTGCAAGCTCGGCCCAGCACTTGGGAGAAAATGAGAGAAAAAAGGGGGGAAATGGCCCCAAAATGATGCTTTGGGGCAGGAAACGCGTTTGGGGCACTCCAGGTCCCCGTGGCTACAACATCCCCTTGGTGCCAGGAGCTCTGGGGGTGCACAGGAACTTCCAGAGCTCCCTCCCTCCAGCACCCGCGGGTGGCTGTGCCCTGAAAACCTGGGACGTTTATCCCCATTCCCCACGGAGATTTTGAGGGATGAAAGAAAGGCCAGCAGGTCCAGCTGAAGGGTTTGTCACCTTTCCCACTCCTGTCCCTGCCACAGTCTCAACCCTCTGTGTCCCACAGGATCCCATTGCCCCCCCTGGATTTAAACCCCATCCACATGGAATCCCCCAGCTCTGTAATCCCCACTGCAGCAAACTCTCTTTACCACGTGGAGACCTGAAATTCCTCTGCCTCAAATAAGATCCATTCCCTTCCCTCTTGCCTTGCAGCTCCCAAAAAAAGCTCTGCCAAGCCAGACACGTCTTTTCCTCCTCTGTTTCTCCCTTACTTCCTAGAAAATCCTGCCCCTCTGTGACCAGGAATATCTCTGGTAGAAAGGCCAAACAGCAAGTATATTTTAGCCACCAGGGCTGTTCAGGAATGTAGATTTTTCTCCCGCATATTCCCGACAAATATATAGGGCAAAAGAAATCCATTTAAATAAAATCCCTTCTTCCCTCTGTATTTCTGGGGAAGGATTTCCATCAGAAGGGCTCCCTTTGGAGCCAACTGCCTCCTCTGAAGTGTCTGCACACCACGGGCCAGGATCTTAATTAGCACCTTTGGGTGCCATCGTTATGCAAATGAGCAATAACGCTGCTCCCTTCCCAATCCAAAGGGTTCCTGCTTTGTTAAGCCTTGCCCAGTACACTCTGGAATGGCTGCACTGGGAAGGATGATTCCCCTCACACACCTTCCCTGCACAACCTCCCTCTGGATGAATGTTTCCCCCCCGGGGATTCTGGAATAAATCCAGAATTCCAGCTCCCCCCTCTGGAGCAGTGAGGAGCAGGACTCCACCTGTTTTCCAGGAGAAATTCCCACAGGAGTTTTTTCATCCTCTGATCCTTAAAACCCCCAGATTATAAGGACAAGCCATTCGTGAAAATAAGCCTGGAAAGGCTAATCTAGGATGGTCAGTCCCCAAGCAGGGAAGGTGTATCCATAGGGAATGCACCTGGAAAAACATGGGGAAAAAAAAAAAAAAGAAGGGAAGAGTTCTGAGCTGTCCAAGGAGTGACTGAGAACACCACGTTGTGAGAGGGGTTAAATCCTGCCTGGGCCTGAGGAAAGGAAATCAAAATTAAATGAAAATGGAGGAAAAAAAAATCCCACATTGTTTGGAGCCATGACATGAAAATATTTCATTACAAAAGGCTGAAAATCGTTGGGTTTTAACTTCAGGGTTTAACTCCCTTTTTCTTGGGAACAAAAACTTAGTGGAGCTTGCAGGGATTTTTGAAAAGGTGCAGTGTTGCTAATTCCAAAAAAAAAAAAAAAAAAAAAAAAAAAAAAAAAAAAAAAAAAAAAAAAAAAAAAAAAAAAAAAAAAAAAAAAATGAAGGAAAGGGTGCCAGTCCAACCCTGGAGCTATATCAGGTTCATCAATGCCAGTCCACATTCCCAAGGCAAAGCAGCTGCCAGCTAAACCTTCCCAAAGTATTCCAGCTCCCTTTATCCCACTCCTATCCAAAAAAAAAGCCCCTCAGAAGACCCTTCTAAAATTCCCCAAGTGCTCTCCCACGGGATGAGCTGAGCAGGGGGGCACGTGGGGACCCCTCAGCCGTTATCCTGTGCTGCTGGGATGGGATAACTGGACAACTCTGCTCTCCCAAACTTCCCTCCTCCACTCCGTGTCAATCCCAGGGTTCACCCTCACACCTCTTGGCACCTCTTACCTCTCATCTCCTTGTTTTCCTTCCCCCTTGCTGGATCTCCAAGGCCAAAATTCACACCAGGTGGGCACCTGGTTGACTTCCCAGGATGTTTCCAGTGTGGATTCCAGGGGAAAAGAGGCTCAGCTGAAGCTGCCACCAACCCCTCGGTGCTACAGGAGCCACACTGACCCCGGCAGAGCCAATTTTAAATCCACCTCCTGTCCCTGAGCCCTTTCTGAGGCAGAACCTGCCCAACTTCCAGGCAATTAAACCCCACCGGCCTCTCCCCACCCTCAGGAATGTGGCACAGGTGGAGCTTTGTGCCAGGTGTGGTGGATGATCCCAGTGATCCTCCAGAGAGAGCCTCTTCCCTTCTCCGTGGGCTGTGAGAGGTGATTTCAGGGAGCAGCAGGGATGGATTTGGCCTGGGCAGGACAGTTCAGCACCCCCTTCATTCTGCAGAGTGTTCCAGGGGGATTCCAGGCCTGCCCCTCATTTCCAAGTGCTTCCCTCTCCAGCCCTTCCCCATAAGCAGCACCAAGATGTGGGATAGTGGGATACCCATCCCTGTTCCTTCTGGCTGAATCCCCTCATCCTGGAGGGCTGGATGGGTGCAACCAGCGCTCAGCTTTGGCCACCAAGCTCTGGGATGTAACACCGGGATGTCCCAGGCAACAGGAGACACGTAAAAACGGGAAATTCCCGCTGGCAAAGCATCCACCACGAGCAAAGATATAACTGCTCTGCCCCTGCAGGACCAAAATCCAATCAGAGCCCGTCCTGAGCTCCCCGTGCCGGGAAGGGAAGCAATTACAAGCCATTTAATTAGGAAAAGGGAGCTGGAAGCTCGTTTAGATGTTAATCTGGAGGGCACGGAGCGGGCAGGGAGCCAGCTCAGCTCTCCCGCTGCCCGAGGGGGGTCCCTGCCCCGCCCCGGCTCTTTCCGACACCTTCAAACACCACAAACTCCTCTCTTGGCTTTCTTAGGGAGCGATCCCTACGGATCACAGGCTGAGCGAGGGAAAGCTGAACGCAGCTCCAAGGCTGTGGGGGATTTGTCCTGCCCCCCCCCCTCCATCCTTCGATTTTTGGCCCAGCCAGACCAACGCTCTCTCTGCTAATAAAATTCTTCAAGTGCCTGAAATCACCAGCCCATTACTTAATTGGGAAGGATCCTGTTTTCCATGCAAGCCACTTAAAAAAAACAAAAACAAAAAAAGACCTAATTACCCTCCAGGAGATGAAACACTTATTGTTCTTACTGACTGGAGCTCCTCTTCCCTGCCCGGAGGGAAACGCTGCCAGCCACCCTCCTTTTTGGTGGTTCAACTGCAGCTTTTAAATGTTAATAACAAGTTTTTTAGCTTGCTGTTGTCAGGAGTTTGTAGGACACTCGGCCCCTTTTGTGTCTAAATAACCACCTTGCCCTGCGTGTGTCTCGGGATGAGCTGTTGGGCCCAGTTCTGAGGATGGGAGGAATGCCCTGGGAAAGGAAGCGGAGCTGCTTTGATCCCAGCTTTTCCTGGGAGTGCCACGGGGTGCTTTTAGACTCCTGGACTGTCCACACAGCCGGGGCAGCCACCGAGGTCAGGTTACAGCACTCCTGTTCCCGGTGTTCCCGGCCTCGGGGTGGCATCTCCTGTTGATGTCCCAGTTCCAGGCTCGTTTTTCCATGCTGGTCCCGGGATGTGATCCCCGAGTTCCTCCCTCTGGGAGGGCCAGCAATGCTCTGCACCAGGAACTGCTGGATCAGCGGGACCCTTTTAGGATGGGAACTCCCAGATGATCCAAGTGCTGCTGCCTTTCCTGTCCATGCAGGGACTGGATGACCTCGGAGGTCTCTCCCAACCTTGATTCCAGGAGTTGAACTCCAGCTGCCTCAACAGCAAGGTCATTAAGAGATGACAAACCGTGTGCTCCACAGCGTTATTTCAAAGCCCACGAGCCGTCACTGACGAAACCACCTGCAGAGCAGCCCCGAGTCGCCCCCGGCGATCCCGGTCCCGGTCCCGGGCAGGAGCAGCCCTGGGCGCTGTTCCCGGGAGCTGAGCCCATCCAAGGAGCCTCTCACGTGCTCCTCCCGCTCCTGGCTCCGAGCACAAACCTCAATCCCCCCCCCCCGGGAAACTCGCGCGCTAATGGAGGGCTTGGCCAGCGACCCGAACGCCGCAAACAGCACCCGGGGCAGCGGTGCGGAAAAATACCCTGGTTTGAGGATAATTGATGCCTGTTCTGACCTTCACAGCGCTCAAATTAAAATGTACTTAAAAGCTTGCAAAAGGTCCGAACCTCCTCCCTTTGAACCTCCTGAGGTCTGCGGGGAATTGTATCATCCAGCCCCAAATCCCGGGCCGGGGTTCCACTGTTCTGGGAACACTTTGAGCCCAGTTTTCCCAAAGCCAGGGAGAGAAGATTCTCCCACCTGGGTCACCTGCAGCCACCACAGCTGCCCCAGCAGGGAGTTTTCCAGCTGCAGGAGGGCTGATCCAGACCCTCCTCCCGGGAGATGGAGCAGGCTGGGCACGTCCTCGACAATGCAAACGTTGTACCTGGTCCTGCTTTGCTGTCCCCTGATCTGCTGGGAAGGGACAGCAGGTGGATGGCACAAGCCCTGCCAGAACCACCTTAACCCTCGCGATCCATTTCAGCACCTCGTGCCCAGCGCCCGGGACGTTTTGGAGCCAACGTTCCTAAAACTACATTTCTCTGAACCCTGATTTGAATGACATCCCGTGCCCGGGGAACGAGTGGCAACAGGAATTCCACGCCGGGCTTTCCCACTGTGAACTCACCCCCTGCAGCCCAGGATCTCATCCCGCCTCCCGCAGGGGCTGAGCGCGTTTGGAGTGGGAGGTGGTGAGGCAGCCTCTGGAAGTCCAGACCCACAGCCCGAGGGATCCTCCACGACCTGGGATGAGCCCCAGTGGCAAAAAAATATCCCAATATTGGCTCAGTACTAGGAGCAAGTAGATGCCTGTGGGGTGTCAAAGGGAGATGAACTCGGGCACAATTCCTCTGACAACCCCAAAATCCTAAACCCTGGCTGAGTGTTGTCCACACAGGCAGGGGATCAGTCCTCTCTGCTGCCCAGAGATGTGGCTACCCCATCCCTGGAAGTGCCCAAGGCCAGGTTGGACGGGGCTTGGAGCAACCTGGGTTAGTGGAAGGTGTCCCTGCCCTTAAGGTCCCTTCCCACCCCAAACCGTTCTGGGATTCCATGATTTCAGACAATTCTCAGCTGCTCTGAAGGACCAGCTTTTCCCTCCTGCCTTCCCCGTTTTTCCATTTAACACTGTTTCAGTTTAACACTGAGACTGTTCCACACACGCTTGGGGATGTTTAAGAAGCACCAGGAGATTTCTGAAGTCAAGCTGTGAACAATCAGGAATTCAATAACTGAAGCAGCCCAGGACACCTTAAATTAACCTTTCCAGGGTTGACTGTGCAGCACCCCAGCTCAGGGCTGCCCTGTCCAGCACACACAGAGATGCCCCAGGGAGAAGCTGGGCCGGGAGGAGGATCCACTGCAGGAGGTGCTCGAGGAGCTGGGTGTGAACTGGAGGGGGTGGGTGGTGACCCCCCTGCAGGTGGCATTTCCTGCCTCTGCCCCAGTTCTCCCGTGACATTTAGTCCAACAGTTGTAATTGCAACACAGCCATCACCCAGCGCACCCAGCCCGGGTGCCCAACACGGCCCTGAGTGTGAACCACACCAAGCACTGGATCCTCCTGACATCAACCTGATCCTGAGGCTGGATCCTGTGCCACCCACCGTGGCTGCAGAGGGGTCTGTGCAGGAGCTCTGAAACCCCTCAGCCTGGCACCACATCCCCTCAGGATCTTTATCCCAACTCCCCGAGGGCAGGGAACGCCTCTTCTTTCCCAAACATGGGGAAAAGAGATGAAAAGCTGCGAGTGGCCCCGGGGAATCCTGCACAGACCTCATTCCACGGGCAACACCGACGCGTCTCCGATGAAAAGCTGCAAATGCTCCATTAATTTCCTTGAATTCCCTCACAACCACAGATCCCACGAAGAATTAATATTTACTCAAGCAGATGAAGTTGGTAAAGCCACGTCAGGGAGCTTAAAGAGAGCAGCCCCCAAACCTGTCCATCCCGAGGGATCATCCCAAGGGATCATCCCGGGGCTCTGCTCTGCTGGGAGCTGGGAGTTTTCCGAGCAGGACCACCCCCATCCCAAAATCCTGCCAAAATTGCGAAATTATTTTTCACCGTACCGCGTCGGCACCTTGATTGCTCTAATTAAAAGGCATGAATTCCTAATTGCTCAACTAATTTCTGTGTTTGGAAAGGGAAGGATGTGGAGGACGTTCACCGCGCCCACACACTGTTGACCTTAAGCCTTGATGTCTCAGGATGAAAGGAAAATAAAAAAAAAGGAAGGAAAATTGTGTTTCGGTGTCAGAGGTGGAGCTTTGTGTTTGCATCACCCACCCACAAAACGGAGCAGGACAGAAAAGTCGCCGAACCTTCCTGACGTCACAGCTTTGCCGAAAGAAAACACAATATTTTTGGGGGGGGGAGGGGGAAAAAGCTGAAAGCTGTCACTCGTGGGAAGAGGGACTTCCACTTAAACCTGATGAATTTGGGGAAGAAATTTCATGCTTTTTCTTTGGCTGGCTGAATAAAAGTAACTCTCCTAAATACAACGTCCCGAGCAAGCTGATGGAGGGGGGGACAATCCCTGCTCCCCAACCTGCCCAGGTGAATCCATCTCCTCTACCGGGGGCAGGGTCTGTCCTGGAGCAGCCCTGGACTCTTCCAGAACTCCTGTGGGCCACAGGGGGATGCAGATGGGAGATTTTTGGCTCTTTTCCTGGAGCGAGCAGAGGGGTGGGGACAGGGAAATGGAGGTGACATTCCCCAAGCCCAGATGAAGCAAGGACAGAGGGAGGTGCTCTGTCTGCTCTGCACCAACTTTGCCACTCCTCACCAGGGTGCTGCTTTCACGCTAATTCAGAGGCAAACAAAACAAGGCAGAGAAGAGAGAAAAAAAAAAAACAAACCCAAAAAAAACCCCAAACAACAAACAACAACTCCTCCTCCCTGTCTGCCACAGGAGTCCTGGAAAAGTAGGGCTGGAGAGGGAGAAAGGGCTGAGCTCAGCCCAAGCCTCTCGGGAGGCTGGCAGGGCTCACAGGCTCCAGTTTTCCTGGTGGTGTCCGGACTGTGCTCGCTCCTGCCCACACCCCTGGAAATTCCGAGGGGGAACAGATTTTAGGAAGCTGTGGGGCGACGGGCAGGGAGGGAATTTGGGATCGCACAGGTGCAGCACAGCCCCGCAGCCAAACCTCCCCTCCTCAGCCTCAGCCACGGCACAAACACCATCCCTGGGGAACTCGGGCACCTTTCCAGCCCCACACCTCGGACCGGGACACCGCTCCGAGAGCTTCACCTCCCCGGGGAGGAGGAGGAGGATTTGCAGTGCCCGTTGGATCAGGCGAGGAAGGCACAGCGCTCCTGTTCCTCCCGCTCCCCCAAAAGCAGGCGGAGCAGCCCCCCAGCTCCCCCTGCGAGGCTCCGGGACCACCCCCTGCCCAGCCCTACCTACCGAGGCTCCTCAGGTGCGGTTGTCCCCAAAAGGCGGATGCGGAGCTCTCTGCCGGTGGTTTTGCTCCCCGGGGCTGGCAGAGGGAATGTCGGATCCTCCCTGGCAGCGCGGGCACACCTGAGCCCTTTACCTGCCGAGGGCTGGCTGTGGGCACACCTGAGCCCTTTACCTGCCGAGGGCTGGCTCCGGGAAGCCAAGCCTTGTTTTGAGGAGGAGACTTGGGTGTGTTTTTGCCCTTCAGGGGAATCAAACAGGTTTCTCCGTTCGGGCGGCACGGGCTCCCCTCCCTGCGAGCTCTCTTCTACATTCCTGGCATTCTCCAGCAAATGCCGTGTTCGCCAGCCCTGAGCTCCGATGGCACAGCAGAGAGAAGCCCCCCCAGCTCTTATCCCACCTGATTTTCATTCGGGAGAAGCATTTCCAGCCAGGCTTGTCCCCCGGGAAGGGGAAGCAGGGACCCTCCTGGTACTCAGGCACCCGGAGTGCGGGAGCCTCTTCCAGCAGTGGTACCCGCGGAGCACCGGGGATGGGGCTGTAATTAGCCCTCAGCACTGATTGTGTACTTCTCAGTCATTAAATGAGGTACCCAGGGGTGATTATCACGGAGGAAATTGCCGGGTGTCCTGCTCTGCCTCCTTCTCTTTCCCTTTCTAATTGCTCTGGTCAGCGCAAGGTCCCCGAGGCCCAGCTTGGGTGGCTCTGGGCGCAGCCAGACCCGGGGACACACCCGGTGCCAATTCCTAAGGACTGGAAGTTGGGGGGTGAGTTTAGAGCCCTCCTGAGAAGTCAGGGCTTCAGCCTGGGACTGCCACAGGGGGTGAGAATCACAGGATCATGGAATAGTTTGGGTTGGAAAGACCTTAAAGCCCATCCAGTCCCACCCCCTGCCACGGGCAGGGACACCTTCCACTAGCCCAGGGTGCTCCAAGCCCTGTCCAACCTGGCCTTGGACACTTCCAGGGATCCAGGGGCAGCCACAGCTTCTCTGGGCAACCTGTGCCAGGGCCTGCCCACCCTCACAGCCAGGAATTCCTTCCCAATATCCCATCTAACCCTGCCCTCTGGCAGTGGGAAGCCATTCCCTGTGTCCTGTCCCTCCATGCCTTGTCCCCAGTCCCTCTCCAGCTCTCCTGGAGCCCCTTCAGGCACTGCAAGGGGCTCTCAGGTCTCTCTGGATCCTTCTCTTCTCCAGGTGAACCCCCCCAGCTGTCCCAGCCTGGCTCCAGAGCAGAGGGGCTCCAGCCCTGGGAGCATCTCCGTGGCCTCCTCTGGAGCTGCTCTAAAAGCAGCTGATGAAGCCCCAACCAGGACCCCTCTGCAGCCACGAGCACAAACCTTCCCTGCCCCACGACCCAAGCACAGGTGGTGCTGAGGCTTGAACAGATGGAAAGATCAGCTCCTGCCCTCTCCTCGCAGCTCTGCTGGGGGATGATGGGCAAACATCCAGTCCCGAGCCGGGATGTGCTGTGACAGGGCCCATAATCCACCCCTGGCTCCCAGCAGCACAACCGCGATGACATCAGGGATTTTTAGGGTTTAAGGTGTTACTCCAGCCCCAGATCTCCCTCTCTGATCTCAGGCAGCAGCAGCAGCAGCAGCAGCCAAGCTCAGCTGAGCTTTGTTCCAGGTGATCCCAGCTGAGATAAGCAGGAGAAAAGCCGGAATCTTGAACGAGCCACACCCTGAGCTCAGAGAGGGCTCAGGGATGTCCAGCCCAGGGGAATTTCAGATGGTTACGATGCAGCCCAGACCCTTCCTGGGTGAAGCATCCTCTGCTCCAGCTGACAGTGCAGCTTTATTTCCAGCACCCCCTGAGTCATGCCATCGTTTGCTGAAGGTTTGTCCATGTTCTTTCCTGAAATAAAGGTGACTCACCACCTGGCCTGGCCAGCCTTGCAGGTACAAGAGGTCCTCAAGCACGAGGATGGACACCCCAGGGTCCAAGGAGTGGTTTTTTAACCCAGTGTGAACACATTGTTCCACAAGGAAAGGTCAAAAACTGAGGGGAAAAAAAAAAAAAAAGGCACCTGTTATGAGCACCTGAATATTAAATATTGAGTGAAGTGCATAAGGAGAGCCCAAACCAACACACCCAGAGTGTTGTTCCACAAGATGAACCCCCACAGCGTGGGCAGCAGGAGAAGGGGGGGATTCTGCCCCTCTGCCCTCCCAGGTGAGACCCTCCCCTGCAGAGCTGCCTCCAGCTCTGGGAACAACATCAGAAGATGTGGAGCTGCTGGATGAGTCCAGAGGAGGCCACGGAGATGCTCCCAGGGCTGGAGCCCCTCTGCTCTGGAGCCAGGCTGGGACAGCTGGGGGGGTTCACCTGGAGAAGAGAAGGATCCAGGGAGACCTGAGAGCCCCTTCCAGTGCCTAGAGGGGCTCCAGGAGAGCTGGAGAGGGACTTGGGATAAGGGATGGGGGGACAGGACAAGGGGAAATGGCTTCCCACTGCCAGAGGGCAGGGAGAGATGGGATATTGGGAAGGAATTGCTGGCTGTGAGGGTGGGAACGCCCTGGCACAGGTTGCCCAGAGAAGCTGTGGCTGCCCCTGGATCCCTGGGAGTGCCCAAGGCCAGGTTGGACGGGGCTTGGAGCAACCTGGGCTGGTGGAAGGTGTCCCTGCCCGTGGCAGGGGGTGGAACTGGATGGGCTTTGAGGTCCTTCCAACCCCAACCAGTGTGGGGTTCGGTGAGTTGTGAGCTCCAGGCCTGGGCAGGGGCAGCACCACACAACGTCCACGGTCCCTCTGGAGCTGAGGCTTCTCCAAGGACATCACTGTGCCATGGCAACACCTACCTGGGACGGAAGGTACCAGCCTCTTCCTGCAGTGAACCTGGCACTGATCCAGCAGCTCCCCCTGGTCTCCCTCCCAGCTTCACTTCAGGGCACTTCCTCACCCAGGGCAACATCGTGTCCCTAAATCCCAGCACCCTCATCAGGTGACCACCAAACACCACTTCCTGAGGGAAGGGAGGAGCAGGGAAGCTCTTCCAGCCATGCCTGGGGCTAAACAAGAGCAGAGGAGTGGATGCTCCAAGGCCAGCAGGAAAATCACAGACCTCTCAGGACGTGGCCGTCCCAAATAAGAGCTGGAAAGAGAGAAAGCACCTTTAAAAGTCTGGAAGCCTCAAGAACTGTTGTCCTCCAGGGCTGGTGGAACACAGAATGAGACTTTCTCACGTGGATTAGGACAACAGCAGAGAGATCAGATCCCATGGAATACGTGGTAAATGTGATAAATGAGATTTACAACCATTTACACCACAGCTTTAACCTTTATTTCCCACTAAGGCACGTGGGATAGAAACACACTCTTTTTTTCTTCCCCTTGTTTGTTTTTCCCCCTGTGGAAAAGGCTTTTCATCCTCTTTGCCCGGTTGAAAGTAGCCATGGCCACCCCCTGCAGGCAGCTCACCTCGAACTGGGGCTTTCCAGGGACCTCCCAGTGCCTTCCACCCGCACACAAAGCTCAAAAAGCACCTCCCTGGTGCTCAGCAGCTTCAACAGGGAGGGACAATCCATCCCAAAGCAGCTTCTTTTGGTGGATTTATCCCATTTCAGCTCTTGGATGTCACTCACCCCGGCAGGCACAGAAACCCTGATGGGTTTTTTTTCCTCCTCATAACGATGGGAGCAGATTCTGGTTTTAATAACATGGCATTTCCAAGTCCCAGCAGTGGCCAGAGGCAGGAGTTTCCTGCCAGCCAGGGACATCTGCAAGAGCTGCTGGAGTGGCACAGCCAGGTCACCTCAAAACAGAGGCTAAAAGGTGTCCAGGAAGGCTGGAGGGGAAAAGCAATTCACTTTGGGCTCTTCACTGAGATAATGAGAGCAGGAGCATCATCTCTCCAGCTTCTCCAAGAGCCTTGGGGATAAAGACTCCAGATTTATGTTGGGGAGCCATTCAATGTGCAGAGAGTGTGAATGAAATACTGACAAATTCCTGATGCTTTGCAGGAAAAGGCACCAAACTCGGTCTTAAATTATTTCTCTGATTTTAGGTAACAACTGGCAGCCCCAGCCTCACCTGGACACAGCACAGGTGACCTGCGTGGCTCTGGAGCAAACCCAGAAGTCAGCAACACACACACACAAAAAAAAAACCTTTAAAACTCAGAGGGGCAGGTAAAGCTGCCATCCAAGCGTGCCAGAGAGCCCAGCCCAGAGCAGCAGGAATGTCCTGTCCCCCCTTTTCACCACCACAACCCTCTCCAGGGACACAAACACAGAGAGGTGGGAGGAGCAGGAAAAAAAAGAGCCTTTTCCCCCATTTCCACTTAAAAACAGCATCGTCTTGAAGACCTGTAGGTAAATTCCAGCCTGGAATACCTGACTTTAGCAGGAAATGGATTCTCCTGGGACAATCCATTCTCCCCCCTCTCTCCTGGGGATGTCCCACGGCTGGTTGATCCTTGTTTCCCTGCTGTTCACCTGCCTCCCTCGTGTCCCCCGGGGCTCTGCAGGGCAGATCAGCTGGGATCAGCCAGACGTGGGAATGACATCACACGAGGAAGCTGCAGCCACAGAAACTGCTCCTGGGGTGGAGAGAAAAGCCCAGGAGGAGAAGATTTAAAGCACTCACAGCATTTAGGTCAGGAAAATAATGTCAAAGAGGAACCAGGAGTGACGTGAGGAGCACAGGGCTGGTGCTGCTGCCAGAAACAGGGGCTGCCAACCAGCCTGTGTAACCCCCCAGTTCATTCCTGACCAGAGGTGCAGCACAAACACCTCCAGAGACAGACAACCTATGAGGAACCCTGGAAACCCAGCAGCCTGTTAGATGGGAAGGTGTTTTTACCAAGCAATTCTTGGCAATCCCTCCCAGCAGTGCCTCCTGTCCCCAGTGCAGCCTGGATTTGAATGGTTGCTAAAATACATTAATTTTTTTGGGTTTTTTTAGTATTTTCCAGCAATGACAAATTTCCCTGCCTCACTCCAGAGCACTGGGCTGCGCTGGAACATTTCCTGCTGGTTTTTTGGTGTTTTTTTTTTTTTTTTTTCAGCACCACTTTTCTGCCCTGGAACTCTCCACCCTTACCCCTTGCAGGTTGAGTAACCCCTCAGTCCTGTGAGCTTTGGCAGAGGTGACACCAAAGCCAAGCCTCAACACTGGCTGAGTGGAAGGGTGTAAAAAAACCACTACACCCATTTGTTACAAGGGAATCCAACTGGTTTTTCGTGAGGTGTCGTTCCAGAGCGCTGCCAGAATGCCAGACCTCACCTTCCTAATAGCAGGGAGCGGGGCAGAACTCTCTCTCCCGGATTATTCCCTGCTGGAATACAATGATCTGCCCCCCTGGCCACGCAGACACACCTGCACAGCAGCTCAGGAGCTGCCAGCACCCAGACAAAAGGATCTTGTCAGCAGGCACAGGGCATGGGAGAGACTGTGGCCGAGTGACAGCTGAGCCAGGGACACAACCTGTGCCATCAGAAGCCATGGACAGAGCCAGGCTGAGCCAGGGACACAAGCTGTGCCATCAGAAGCCATGGACAGAGCCAGGCTGAGCCAGGGACACAAGCTGTGCCATCAGAAGCCATGGACAGAGCCAGCTGAGCCAGGGACACAAGCTGTGCCATCACAGGCCATGGACAGAGCCAGCTGAGCCAGGGACACAACCTGTGCCATCACAGCCCATGGACAGGGCCAGCTGAGCCAGGGACACAACCTGTGCCATCACAGGCCATGGACAGAGCCAGCTGAGCCAGGGACACAAGCTGTGCCATGAGGAAGCAGCAGCAGCAGCAGCACCTGCACCGTGCTCTGTTGCAAGCAGGGAGATGCTGATTTCTTTCCCATCACCAGCTCAGCAGCTTCCTCAGGGCTCCCAGGCGGATGATGAGCTGCTTTCCCTCTCCCTAATAAAGCCCAGGTTGCACCACCCTCACACCTGTGGGCCTGGCACCTGCCCGGGGCTTGCACAAGCGCCAGTGAAACTCGGGAAGGAATCCTGCAGGATCAGGGTCCAGCCCACTCCTGCTGGGGCTCTGCGGTGCTGGCAGGAGTGGGAATGTCCCCGTGGCTGCTGCTCCCTGCAGGTTGGGCTAACAGAGACAGGGATCTGCAGAGTCAACAGAAAGCCCCTGCCACAGCTTCCCAAAAGGCTGGCTGAGCACTGGAACGTGTCACGGATCCCTGTGTTTCTAAAGCCACTGAAGGTGCTGAGCTCCCACAGGATGCAAAGATCCTCCACCCAAACCTTCATGCCCTGCCAGGGGTGTGGAATCCCTGCACATTATTTTGGAGACCAAGGAAATTTTGGTGTTGTCACAGCCCTCCAAGTTCACATTCCTGTAACAGCACCAGCTGGAAACCTTCCCAGGTTGCCAAGATCCCACAGGTCTGGGGAGCAGAACAACCAGAAGCAGAGGGGTAACCAGCACAGGGAATGTCACTGAAGGACAAGCTTCCAATCAGGAATGGCTTGGCTCGTGGAATTCTAAGTTACTGCCTCAACAAGCCAATTCAGCCCCAGCTGGAACAGATTCAGCCCAGTGTGGAATCTGTGCAGGCACCAAAAATGCATCTGCTTATCCCTGGCAAGAGTCCAGTTAATCACAGAGTAATGGAATGGTTTGGATTGGAAGGGACCTAAAAGATCATCCAGTCTATGGGCAGGGACACCTTCCACCAGCCCAGGTTGCTCCAAGCCCCATCCAACCCAGCCTTGGACACCTCCTGCATCCCCAGCTCTGGCTGGACTGAGCTCCCCTCTGGCCTTTTTGCTCACTGGACATCTACTTTTCCATCAGTTTTACCTCTTCCCTGTTTCTGCTATCACACCCAAGCCACCCTTTTCCTTTCTGGCAGGTGTGTGTGGCCAAGAGTTTCCCCCACACTCCGAGGAATTCCTTCGACAGCACAACCCTCCTGAGCTCGGTGCCTTTGCAGTCTCTCTGTGAGAGGAGTTTTTGGTTACCTTAATTCCACTTTGAAAAGCACTTTTATTCCTCCCTCTCTTCCCCTCCCTCTCCCTTTCTCTGGGATAAGCAACAGATCTCTCCTTTCTCTCTCCTGCTGCCAAAACCAGTCTCAGGTCAGCAAAATTGGGAGCTGCAGCAAGAAAAAGCCAGGAAAGCTGAGTGAGAGAGATAAGAAAGTTTGATGAGAGTGCTCCAGGGAACTCTTTGAAGACTCGAGGAGCTCCTGTTGAGTGTTATCACCAAGGACAGATTGCACCTGACCTTGGCCTTGGATATTTAGAAGGAAAATTTGATAATGGCAATTTTGCTTCACAGCCTCCTGCTCCCTGTCCCACACACAGCGTGGAATCCCAGAATGGTTTGGGGTGGAAGGGACCTTAAAGCCCATCCAGTCCCACCCCTTGCCATGGGCAGGGACACCTTCCATTAGCCCAGGTTGCTCCAACCTGGCCTTGGACACTTCCAGGGATCCAGGGGCAGCCACAGCTGTGCCAGGGCCTGCCCACCCTCACAGAGAAGGATTTATCCCTAATATCCCATCTAACCCTGCCCTCTGGCAGTGGGAAGCCATTCCCCCTTGTCCTGTCACTCCAGACCCTTGTCCAAAGTCTCTCTCCATCTTTCCTTTTGGGTCCTGGAAGGCCACAGTTGGGTCACCCTGAAGCTTCTCTTCTCCAGGCTGAACAATCCCAATATTCTCAGTCTTTTCTTTTAGGAGAGCTGCTCCTTCCCTCTGATCATCTTGGTGGCCTCCTCTGGACCTCACTTCAACAGGTCCATGCCCTTCCTGTCCTGAAGAGCTGTCCCATCAAAGGGATACCAGGAGGGAAAGAACAGAAGGATCACAAGATGAGATAGATCTATGCTCATTAGGGTGAGAAAATGAGTTAAGAGGAGGAGGCTGGATCAGGGATGGGAGATGTTATGGATAAAGGAAGGTTTATCCTGCATTGTGGCCAGGGATAGAGTCCAAGTCAGGCTCCACCAGAGCAACAATCCCTGTTTACTCGTGTTTGGGAAACAGCAGCTCCTCAGCAGCCAGCAGAAGCTCTGGCAGCCACCCTAATTACACAGGGAGAGCAACCAACCCAGCCTGGGTGTGACACACTTCCCCTCCCCCCCCCATCCCAGAAAACCTCTGGGTTACCCTCCCTGGGTGATGGAAACCCCACTGCCTCCTGCTTTCATCCCGCTCACCTGAACTTCCAGCGCCTCTCATTTCGGGAGCCCCCTCTGGTTGGGACCTTCATGAGAGGCCTCCAAAGGCACAGGTCGAGGACTGAGAGGGATTTTTGGGACACACTGGAGCTGCAAGGCAGTTCTGGCTGGGAAATGCCACCTAGAGGCCAAAGGTGCTTTTGCTGGGGTTTGACTTGAGGTGATCCCAGTGCCGGATCCTTCGGCTCCAGCAGGTCCCCCCTCCCTCCCCACCTCCCTGTGGGAGGGAAGCGTTATCCCTGCTTCCAGGAGGATCAGCTGGATGACCACTGCAGACCAGAACAGCAGGAGATGGTCCAAGCAACTGGCCAGGTCACTTCAACATCAAGGCCAAGGCTGATAAAATGACCTGTTAAAGCAGCACATAAAAATCCCCAGGAAGAAAAGCCCAACATAAAACTCTCCAAAAAAAAACCCCAGAAGTTAAAATAAAACTAATTTTATAGGATCAAGATGGAGATTAAGGCTCATTGTGGTGGAGGTTGTGACTGCTCCATCCCTGGAAGTGTCCAAGGCCAGGCTGGACAAAGCTTGGAGCAACCTGGGAGAGGGGAAGGTGTCCCTGCCCACGTGGTGGGACTGGATGGGCTTCAAGGTCCCTTCTAACCCAAAGAATTCTAGGATTCAATATTTCTATGAGTGAGGGAGGTACTTCCCATAATTCTGAAATCTGAAACACCAAAACTCCCAGGAGTCAGGAGTCAGCACAGAGGGAAATTCCAACTCTGCCCTAAACCCTTCATTTAAGAACAAACCAGAACTGGAAGATTAAAGGGTAGAGGACACTTTATATAAATGTCAAGCAAAATAGCTGGGGGATCACTGCATTATATTCCATGTGGAAAAGAGGGTTTTTTCACGGACTAAGTGGTCAAAGCAACAAAAATCACCATGACCAGCAATAACAGGTCAGAGAAGATGGGCTTTGTGTGCTGCAGGATCTTCCAACCACTGCAGTTCTTGTGGGAAACGAGTTTCGGGAAGAGAGTCCACAGCAAAGAGCTCTCCCCCCACAAAAGGGAATCACTCAAATCCAAGCTGTGCTGAGATGGTCAGAAAGGGACTTGCCCTTTCAAAGATGGCACAGAAAACTAGGGAGTCATCTCTTTGTGATTTATTTGGATTCTTTTTGGAACAGAAAGAGGCTCCTGCAGACCCAAAGGAACAAAGAGAGGCCTTTCCTCAGGTTTCCTTCAGGAAGGAGCCAAATCACCCACTAATCATGGAGAGAAATCAAAATGAGCTGCAGTGATTTCAGAGCTGGTGGCAGAACTGCTTTTTGCCACGAGCTTCTCCTGTCTAGAGAAAAGCCAAAGCCCAGAGGGGACCAGCCACGAGAAGGGTTTGGTTCCCCAGCTCTGAGAGGAGGTGGCTGATGTCACCAGAGAAACCAAACATCGGGACAAGGGCGGAGAGAGGAGGGAAGGAATGCTGATGGGCTGCCTTGGGATTGAAGAGGGCACAGCAGGGGGTTTTTTTCATGGTCCAGAGAGTTCAGCAGCTGGTTCAAAAACAAGAAAGTCACCTCAAAGAACTGTTACAACAGCTCCTACGTGAGGGTCTTTCCAACCCAGGTCACGGCGAGGAGGAACTCGGGGTGGGGGGGAAGCTCCCCGTTCCTGGGACTTGGTGACATTTCCTTCAGTGCCCATGGCAAGGCATCATGGTAATCATGGAAAACGGAGCTGGAAGAAGTTCCTGCAGGGCTGCTCAGGCCCTGGCCCGGCGCAGGTGGGGGTAGCTCTGCAGGGTCCTGGCTATGGCCTCCTCCAGCCCCACCACGGGCCGGTACCCCAGGTCCCTCTTGGCCCTCTCGCAGCTGTAGTAGTGGAATGTCCCAGCCAGGGCCACCCTCATGGGGGTGAAGGTGGCCTTGATGGTCACCAGGGGCCTGAGCAGCCACAGCAGCAGGGCCAGCAGCAGGGCCAGGTGATAGGCCAGCCAGTAGGGGATGTGGTACTTGGGAGGGTCGTAGTCCAAGCCCGTCAGGATCCGGGACATGAACGCCCAGAAGGGAACCGGTTCATCGTTGGTGATGTGAAAGGCCTGGAAGAGAAGCAGATGAGAAGCCAGGTGAGAACAATCATCCTGGGCTTCACGAATTTGGCTCTGTGATAGCCCATCTCACATTCCCCCCGAGCTGGGCAGGAGCACGGCTTTCAGGACAGGCTGCTCTGCACTGACCCCCTCTGAGTGAAGAGGGATGAACCTCTTCTTTGCCAAGAAACAGCTACTTCTGACACCCCAGAGCCTGAGATTACCCATAAACACCAAACAAACCGACTGACACGGCACAGAGTGAACACATTAAAGCACAGTGGGACCAGGAAAAGCTGCCCAGGTTTCTCCTGTTCTGAACTCCGGCCTCAAATCCTCTTGTGTTTCCATGTGTGCCCACAGTTCTGCCTGGACTTCCTTCCACGAGGGGTTTGGGAACATGAAATCCCAGTGTATTCATCCAGCTTAGCCCATGGAAGTTGGTTAAAACTTGGTGCTGTAACACCAAGGTCACGGGTTCCATCCCCTGGATGGAGCTGGACTTGCTGATCCCTGTGGGTCCCTTCCAACTCAGAATTTTCCAGGGATTCTGTGATGTGTCATCAGAGGGACAACCATTCATTGTAGCCACGGCCAGACCAGACCCCCCCTCGTGCGTGGAGCTCCTCTGGTCTCCAGGAGGGACGTTCAGGACACAACTTTCAGCATCCCAGCTCGAAGTTTGGCTGGGGACGCCCCCTCCCCTCCCACCCCGAGGTCCTTCCTCACCTTCCCACACAGGGGAGAGCCTTTCTGCAGCTTTTCCGCAGCCAGGATGTGCCCATGGACCACGTTTTCCACGTAGGTGAAATCCACCAGGTTCTTTCCATCCCTGGAAAACACAGACAGAAGGAATTTTAGCCCCGAGGCGAGTTGGGCTGATAAGCTGCTGGTGGCAAAAGGGACACAGGAAAGATTTATCCCAAGTTTCTTCATTTCTCTTCTCTTCTCCCACTCTTTTGTGCTCCAGCTTCAGGCCATGCCCTGCCAGGGGGGTGGAATCCCTGCACATTATTTTGGAGACCAAGGAAATTTTGGTGTTGTCACAGCCCTCCAAGTTCACATTCCTGTAACAGCACCAGCTGGAAACCTTCCCAGGTTGCCAAGATCCCACAGGTCTGGAGAGCAGAACAACCAGAAGCAGAGGGGTAACCAGCACAGGGAATGTCACTGAAGGACAAGCTTCCAATCAGGAATGGCTTGGCTCATGGAATTCTAAGTTGCTGCCTCAACAAGCCAATTCAGCCCCAGCTGGAACAGATTCAACCCACGGTGTGGAATGTGTTTTGAGGCAGGTACAGAAAATGCATCTGCTTATCAGAGTCCAGTTAATCACGGAGCAATGGAATGGGTTGGGTTGGGTTGGGACCTTAAAGCTCATCCATAACAAGGCCAAGGTCTTTGATCCTACCATCAGGAATATTAAAATATTTCTGATATTTCGGAGGTTATTTAATTGCCAGAACCTCGCACACCACAAGTGTGTGTTAATTAAATTGCAGTGAATTATCTGAGCTTGCCCATCTGATGGCACAGCTCTTTCGAGAGCTCAAGCCATGCTTGCTTCCCTCAGGGATATTCCTTTGGCATTGGGAACACCTGAGGGGATGGACCCTTAACAAAGAAGGGTTTTTAAAAAAAGAAGTGAAGAGAGTGGAAAAAAAAATCAATATTTTAAAAATATAAAATATTTCATTAACAAAAATCACTCCTATTTCATTAATATTTTATAAAGTATCAAACAATAGCCATAATTCTATATTACATGAACGTAATATAATGTATATATTAATATATTATTAAATATTATGAGATAATTATTATATAATTAATTATTAACTAACATTTAAAACCAATTTCTATTTGATATTTAATAAATAATAAATAATTTAGTAGAGTACATTAATGTAATTATATTATTTATAATTAGACATAAGATATAATATGTATTATTAATTACAATAAGAAAAATAACAAAATATATTAAAATTAATATCGAAAGCAGGGGGGAAAAATGAATATGATGCCCTCTCAAAAGGGCTTTTTGTAGGTTCATCAGCAGTTTTATCCCAGCAACAAAAGGCCTGAGCTTTGCTCACCCAATAATGAACTTCATTTTGCCCTTCTTGGCGGCCTGGACGAGGATGGGAACCAGCTGAGGGTCTCTGGGACCAAAAATCCCGTGGGGACGAATGGCAGTGGTGAGGAAATCATTGTCTGGGTCGTTTGCCCTGAGCACTTCCTGCAAGGGAAAGAAGAGAATCAGAACAGGAGAAAGGCTGGGAAGGAAAATTCCAAGCTCCTCACTCAATGATGTGGGCTGCCATCCCCTTGGGAAGACACCAGTGGGTGGATTATTACCCTTTCCCATCTTTACAAATGATCCTTCCTTTGTTCCCAGCTCTTCCTCCACTTCTCTTTAAGGAGAAAAACCAGTAAAAAAAATCAGTTGGACACTTTAGGAATTGCCAGGCAAAGGAAGGGAACTCTTTGCTTCTCCCATTTAACACCATAAAACTCAGAAGTTTTCCAAGTCCCTTCGCTGCGTGAACTCCTTGTGCTGAACTCCACAAACTTCTTGTGCTGGAGAAGAGGAGGACACTCAGCAATTCCATCCCTGTCCCTCCCATCAGCCACTTCCACCCCAAAGCTCCTGGATGTCCCTCAGCAGGGGGTGATCCCACCTTTCCTGGCAGCACCAAGAGCTGGGCACGTTCACCAGAGCAGCTCTGAAGGAGATTTAATTCCCCTGAGAGCTTCCAAACAACATCTTCTCCTAATTCCCAACAGCTGCTGGGATTTCTGGGAAACCCCAGGATCGAGGCACATCCCAAAAATGGGCCTTGTGAATTCAAATCAATTCTTTGATTCGAGGGGAAACCCTGAAAGGCTTCAGGGACACGCTGGCAGCACCAGCATGGAAAGCAACTCTGAATTCTTCTTGCTCAGCAAGCCCAGATTCTTTCCACAAATGAAACACAGACCATGGAAAAAGGCTCCCCAAAAAAATCCAGGTTTGTTCCCTTGGCTTTAAAACATTGCTGCCCCATATTTGAAGCCCAAATGCTGCAGCAATAAGAACATGAAATACAGCATGATATTGGGGGTGTGCAAACAGCCAAAGGGGGGAACTTTCAGCTGTAGGGGCAGTTTTCAGCTGTTTTTTAACAAAAATATTTCACTACATGGCCAAGAGCATTGGCTGACAACACCTAATTAGGCTGCTGTGCTCCTCAGCTCAGCCCACATTCCCACCTTTTCCTTCCCTTGTTCACAATCCCACCTGGAAACTCAGGCTGCAGATCAGGAAAACGGGGTTTTGAAACAGCCTCCCAGAGCGGAGAAGACAAAAAACTCCCCTCAGCTGCTCTTAAACCAAAGCTTAGAAAGTTCAGAAATGGCATTTCCTTGCCGTGGAAGTGACACCTCTGCCAGTTCTGAGCCAACTTCTGTGGTGTAAGACACGATTCCCTTCAGCTTCAGTGGTTAATTTATGGCACAGCTTGATTATAGTCTCTTTTGATTAAGTTGACACATCAAAAAATAACAGTTTAACCACAAGATCCGATGGCAAATACCTTCTCCTGTAGGATCTTGGTCTCTGTGTAGTAGTCAATAGGTTTTTGTGCATAAGGGAGGTCTTCTGATCCATTTTTTATGTCTGTGCCCTCAAAGACCACGCTGGCACTGCTGGTTAACACCAGTTTCTGCAAAGGATGGGAGAGAAAAAAAGTTGTTGGAAGCCTAAGACAGAAGGGTGATCACTTATGAAGGCTGAGCAAAGACAACAATAATGTTTAATCAGCTGATCCTACAAAGGATAAACTGATCCCAGAAGAACGAGGCCAATAGAAGATGAGCTCAAACTGCAGGTTTGGTTCTGTCCCAGGGTCTTGCGCCACCTAAAGGACATCAGAACACGTCAGGCAGGGGGGAACATCCCCAGGAAAATCAAGATTGTAAAACTTAACACAAATGAGTGGGTTTAGGATGGATTTGCTCATCTTGACAAGTAACGGGATCATGGGAGACTGAACCGGAAGAGAAATCTTGGGTGGTTTTGCTGGATAAAAACGTGGCCAGGGGGATGCAAAGCTCTGAGCCATCAGAGACGTGTGGTCCTGCAGAAAATGGGACACTGGATCCAGCATCTCCCACAGAATCCAGACACAGCCAGCAGGGAAACACCGCACGGCCCATCATCTCCTTATGACACCAGGGGGAAAAGAAAAACCAAACCACCAACCAACCCAAGAGGCAGAAGAGAATTGAGTTTCCATCAGACACTAAGCAGGAGACCCACAGACTGTCTCTCCCACGGTTTTTCATGGCACAAGGAACAATTGAGTATCTCAGAGCCCTCAACTTGACAGGAATTGGTCCATGGTGCCAATGTTACAAAGCCCATTCCAGCGTCCATGTGCTTTTCCAGCCTTACCTGCACTCCAGCTTCTTTGCAGGCCTCAATGACTGTTTTGGTTCCCAAAAAATTCACCTTGTAAAACAGTTCCCTGTTGTCACTGGAAGGTGTGGGGGATGCACAGTGGAAGGCCACGGACACACCTTGCAGAGCTGGGAGCAGAGCCTGGGAGGTCCAACACGGGAGACAGGAATGAAGCAACAGCCACGGTGCAGGAAACAAAAAAAAATAACAGGAAGGAAATAAAAGACAGGTTTGTTGTTTTTTTCATGGAAACACTCTGTGAAATTTCAGTCATGTTCCCTCCATAAAGGTGGGCAGCTGGAATAGGATTTGCATCCAGGGTTTTCACAGTGCCCTCTCCTCTTGAGCTGGGCCAACACACACTCTGCATCATCACTTCTTTCCAGAGAAGAACCTGGGGACTCCTGCAGAGCTCTTTAGGCTGAACCACTTGGAATATTGGAAGCAGGTAGGAGACTCAGAACTCCCTGGAGCCAGGAGTTGGGACACTCAGGAAGCAGCAGTTTCCCAGTTCCCCAGGGCCCTGTTGGAGGTCGCTGCCCCAAAGCTTTGAGCTGTGGTGCTCAGGCAGCTGGGGAGGTGTCTCCCACCTGGCTCACCCACAGGAGGCCTGGGAATTGTTGTACCATCCTCGTGGAGCTGAGGAGAGCTGGGAGAGCCCCCTGTAATTAGCACAGGGGATGTAATTACACTGAGTGTCCAAACTAACAGTGATGCAAAAGCTTCAGGCAGAAACCAGGTCTGTTCTCTGCAGCTCTGAGAGACACCAGGAGTTGATTCCATGGAGAAGTGCTGAGGCTTCACCCCAGGGAAAGGGTGAGAGGCACAACTGCAACCCCTTTTCCAACCTATGCAGGCTTCCAGGTGTGTCAGAGCTTTGGGAAAGGCTCAGTGTTGGATCCAACACCCGTTTAACCAGATATCCTTTCCCAGAATCCCAGAATGGGTCAGGCTGGAAGGGTGAGGTCATCTGGTCCCACCTCCTGCTCCAGCAGAGCCATCCCAGAGCACATGGATTGTGTTGAGATAGTTCTGGAATATCCCCAGTGAGGGAGACTCTCTGGGCAGCCTCTTCAGAAGTTCTTCCTCGTGCCCAGGAGGAACTTCCTGGCCATCAGTTCCTCTTGTGCCATCACTGGGCCCCCCCTGAGCATCCTCTGCCCCCTCCCTGCACACACTGCTGATGAAATGAATCAGCCCTGGGCCCGGCACTGAGCCCTGGGGACACTTCCTTAATGCCAGCCAGGGTGTCCCTGTGGGTCTGTACCTCCTTGTCACAGAGGTCTCCCAGGAAGAACTTCACTCTGTCGCTCTGGAACCTCTGGTGGATGTCGAAGACGTTGACAGCATAACCCCTGTCCAGGAGCTGCTCCACCATGTGCTGCCCCAGGAACCCCGAGCCCCCGATCACAGTGCACCTCCTGCCAGCCTGCAGGGAGAGAGAAAAGGGAGGAAAACCCCTTTAAGAACCGCACACCCCCCCAAGAGAGCCACCTGAACTTCCCGGGATCGTAACGCGCTGGAATTCCACGCCGGGCAAAAATTCAGCCATCCAAAGACTCCTCCGTAGGTCTGGGCCATCACAGTGGCCTGGCAGGTCAAGACACACTGGCTGGAGGTTGGAAGGGCTTTGCCTTACCCCCAGGCTCCCAAGAGGCCCAAAAGGGCAGAAGGAAAAGAGGATTTCCTCCCACAAAGCCTGCCCCGGATGGCAGAGCCAGCAAAAAGGTGGAGGGACACGTCTCCAGGTGGTTTGTGATGGGCTGTGGGTGCAGAGGATGGCCCAGCTGACATCCCTGAGCTCTCCTAGCCTGCTGTTCCCTCGTTCTGTGATCCCTGCATTTAATACAAAAGGTTGGAAGATGGAAGAAGTTCCATTTTCCTCAGCTCAGAGAGGTTTTGGGGCCATAACTCTCAGGAGCACATTTTTATCGAGCTGTTCTGTCTCTTGACCTGAGGTTCTTAGTTATGAATTTCTACCTTTTGAGGCATTTTCTCACTAGGTCATAGGATGTTTATGCAAGATCAGGGAATCTGGGATATTTAGGAAGCAAACAACCACAAAAGCCACTTGTGAAGGGTTTGAGTGAACTGCTGCGTCTCCACAGCACTGCTGGGGTAGAATTCATACCCTAAAATCAATGTATTCATGGGTAGCTTGGCCTGCTACACTTTATTCTGTGCAATATCAAATTAGAAAGTTTATATAGAAAATTATATATAATTGTGGCTGCCTCATCCCTGGGAGTGTCCAAGGCCAGGCTGGACAGGGCTTGGAACAACCTGGGAGAGTGGAAGGTGTCCCTGGGTGGAACTGGATGAGCTTTAAGGTCCCTCCCAAGACAAACCAGGCTGGGATTTTATGATGCCTCTGGGATTTTCTTCATCCCCAGGTTGAATTGAGTGATGATGAATCAGAATATTCAAACTGAGTATTTTTGTATCAGAGCCCGTGACACTCAGGCTCCTCCAAGGCACGAAAACACCCATGTAAAGGCAAAGATTGACCTTTGGAGTCATTAGTTCTTTATTTTTTTTTATTTTTTTTAAGCTTTTAAAATCAATGGTCACAGGCCCTAATTAAGATGCCCAAAAAGAGACCGAAAGATCTCCCCAGCACAGAAAAGGAGGCTCAGGGGGGACCTTCTGGCTCTGCAATCCCTGACAGGAGGGGGGAGCTGGGAGGGTTTGGGCTCTGCTCCCAGGGAACAGGGACAGGAGGAGAGGGAACGGCCTCAGGCTGTGCCAGAGGAGGGGCAGGTTGGATTTGGGGAACATTTCTTAGTGGAAAGGGCTGCCCAGGGCAGGGGTGGAGTCCCCATCCCTGGAAGTGTGTTCAGATGGAACATTTTTAGTGGTGACCACAGTGGGATTTGGTCAAAGAGGGGACAGAAGCTCCTCCTCAGAAAGCAGCAAATCCATCCTGGCATTATTTTCCCTGTGTCCTTTCTCATCCAGGTCCCTTCCACCACAAACCCTCCTGGGATTCCACAATCCCAGGGTGCTTTTCCCAAGAACTGCTCTGTGTGCCTCGGAGTTTTCCTGCAGCAGATTGCTGCCCTCTGCCTCTGAACCTCAGAGCCACTGGCAGAGGGTTTAGATCATCTCCAAAGCACCTTTAGGAATCATAAAACCCCAGAAGGCTTTGGCTTGGGTTGCTATAATTGTTATATATATAATGCAATGCAATAATATAAATTAGATATAATAGATATAATTGAATTAGTTATAGCTATAATAATTAATAATTTTAATTGTTAATAATAATGAATAACTCCTGACAGTTATGTCCCGAAATCCCCTCTGTGTTAAGCATTTTTTCCATATCCCAACCTTCTGTATGGGATCACAAAATGAGGGAACAACAGTCTGGGAGAGCTCAGGGACCTCAACTGGACCATAAAATACCTGGGAATGACCCTGGAGCAACTCAGTCTCCAGCACTGCCAAAGCCACGGGTGTTCTTGGGAGGGTTGGAGCATTTCTGGATCTTTTTGGAACTAACAGCGGCACATTCTTCTTTGGAAAACCCCATTTTCCTCCTTAGAATTATCCCTAATTATCCCCAGCCTCAGGATGTTCAGGAGTGTCCAGGAGAAGGTGTTTTTGCAGGACAAATCTTCACAAAGCCCCTTTTGGGGGGGCTCAACTCACCGATCTGAGGCGTGTGGCCATGGCTCAGGTGAGGCCTGTCCACCAGATTCCTTCAAAAAAGGAGGAGCTTTTCTTCCTCACTGCTTCTAGAAATCCAGGTTTGAACCTGCTATGCTGAAATAAAGATGAAAAAAGGGAGTCGATTCTCCTTGTTCTGCTAAAAAAAAAAAAAAAAAAAAAAAAAAAAAAAAAAAAAAAAAAAAAAAAAAAAAAAAAAAAAAAAAAAAAAAAAAAAAAAAAAAAAAAAAAAAAAGCCCCAATGGATGTGCTGGAGACAGAGTTGGGAGTCTTTGGGGTTTAGTTTTCTCAGAAGCCCTTTGGAATGGCAAGGTAGAAAGGCAAGGAAAGGCAGGATTGGTGCCTGTCCAGCCTGGTTTGGAAGTGCAGGCTCAGGGTGATCCCCCCTCAGCTGTTTCCTGCTCCCCCCCATTCCCTGAGCACCTCCTCCCTCTCCAAAATGCAATTTAGGAACTGCTCTGTCTCCAGTTCCCCCCTCCCCAAAAGCTCTTCCAGCCCCATCCCAGACCCCCCATCCTCCTCCCACCCTTCAACAACACCCCCAGCTTTCCTCACCTCCCTCCCTCCCATCCCACCCTGCCCCTCACACCCCCCCTCCAACCTCCCCAGCCACCTCCTCCCATCCCTGCAGGACCTTCCCATGGCCCCCTGGATGTTCC